TATATAGCGTGTGTGTGTGTGTGTGTTTGTGTCTATGCGAGCTGTTAGTTTGTGTGTGTATGTATACATATATATAAATATATATATATATATATATATATATATATGTGTGTGTGTGTGTTTGTGCGTATGTAGATGTATTTACATAGATGTGTATGTTTATTTGTTTTTTGGTTTGTTTGTTTATTCGTATAGCCATAGTATGTAGTACGTGTGGTGTATAATTGTTGCTAAGATACATTACCTGTGTTTTATTTTATTTTCAATTACTTCTACGTGTTGACTTACGCGCGTTGTTTGTATATATACATCTCTTCATTCAGTTTTTATGAATATCTTGCATTTGACTAGGCATGTTCGTGGTACGAGGATGCTTGAACAGTTTAGAGCCGTTTTATTTGGTAAAATGAATCATGGCTCGTTATTTGAATGGACACAAATTGTTGTCAAGTGACCATTCATTATTACTTATGGGTTTATAGACCTTTACGTGGGTATCGACACGTGCTATATCAAAGATTAATATAATTCAGCTTTTATTTAGACGGTAGGTAGAGCGTGATCGAAGTATACTGGTTTACGTGTATACTTTACTGTACAGATAAAAAAATATCATTTTAATATTGTAATTTTCTGTTCTTAGTATGGAAGGAGGTGAACTATTCGAGCGTATCCAAAAGAGATCTTCATTCACTGAGAGGGAAGCTGCAGAACTCATCAAAAGCGTTGCTTCGGCTGTCCAGCACGCTCATTCTTTGAATATTGCTCACCGAGATCTCAAACCGGAAAATTTGCTCTTCATGAGTAAGTACACTATATATCCTGAATTTTTCTTTGCGATCTCTATGTAGTCTCACTACTACTTTTACTAAAAAATATGAGCGTTGAGCTGGACTTTTTCTGTGTAATTAGTTGGAATTACGTAGAAGATAGAATTGAAGTTGCTGATAGTACGTACTTTATGTTATTGAGGACGCCCAACATTTTTATACACATATTCCAAATTTTTCGTGTACTCTTGTAGATGACACAGCCGAAGCTACAATTTGCCTTACGGATTTCGGCTTTGCGAAAGAATGTGATCAGGTATGCATATTGCAATTTCCACTGAAGGCAAACTGCCGATTCAGTTCGTGCTAAAAGATTATGCAGCTAATGTTCCCTGTCATGTTTAGACCAGATCGATATTGTTAGCAAATACTACTTGGAATACTATGAAGCGCTCGTGGCTAATTCAGTTACTTGCTGGTCCTTTTTGTTTCGTATCTTCTTTTACACAGGTTTTACAAACTCCTTGCTACACGCCGTACTACGTGGCACCGGAAATCCTACAAGCCGAGCACCGTAAAAGTGGCACATACGACAAGTCATGTGATGTTTGGTCATTGGGGGTTATTCTGTACATTTTACTCTGTGGACACCCGCCCTTCTATTCTGAGGGAGGAGGTCATATTTCTCCCGGAATGAAGGTATTGCGTTGGGTTGTGGGTAGGTATTATCTAAGCGGAGAAATAACTGCAGACAGCTTAAATTCGAATAATAGAGCTTTGAAATAGTATATCAGAGCTAGGTCGTCCGTTTACAATAGTGAGGGAGTGAACAAATGAGCCAAGTATTTTTATAGACCATTCCAAGATGTGTATAAATCTGGAAATTGAACTATTTGTCTTTATGTTCTCTCCTCGATCATATTTTGCTTATAGAGACGAATTCGCTCCGGTATCTATGAATTTCCTGAGGAGGACTGGAAGGACATCTCAGCATCCGTCAAAGATTTGATTCGTAAAACACTTCACATTAACCCTGACCGACGAATGACTATAGACGAAATCATGCGACACCCTTGGATTGCTGTAGGTCTTCTTATATATTGTATATCTTTTGTAGGGTCTTTCTAATTTCGTTTCATTGCAAATATAAACGCATGTCGAAGAGTTTTGAGACAGTAATTTCACTGGCAAAGGTTGAAAATCGCTCCTTTCCCATGGACATCCCTATACACCTTTCAGATATCTGATCTGGGAGATACTGTGCTGCCCACTGAACACGAATCAACACTGCCTTTGCAAAAATAGTGGGATTGTTTTAAGCAAATTGTGCAAAGCCTGACTATTCGCACAATGCTATTTGTGGCTACGATTTCCATTGCATATATTCTCTGAATGGTACTTTTCCGCTTTTACCGTCTGCTTCCCGAGTGAATTTAATGTTCGTTTCTCAAGTAGTCAATACTACTTTTGGGGTTACACGTTGTGTGGTAGGTTCTATATATATGGAGCATTCAAATTCAAAGGTCCTCAAAGTACCAATTTGATCTCTCATTACTCTCCTCTGGAACAAGACCTATTCTTCTATTCCGCGATTTACGAAATGCTGTGAGCTTGTGTATCCATCATCAAATTCACCACGTAGTTGCTTTGGTTATGATTTGTATACATTTGTACGTTATATTCAGGAACTAAATGTAAGTAATTACAAATGCTATGCAAGAGACAAATCCATATGTACTCAACACTAGGAGAAGAAGTGGAAATGACTTGGCCCTTTTGTCTGATCTGTCATGCAAGTATCTCTAGGTTTGGTGAGAATACATTGTATACTTCACATATGATTTCACGTAAATCATAACATCGCTTGGAAGTTCTCGTAATAAGATTATAAGGATTTGTCTCTATTCCGCGAAGGATCTTCTAATTCTGTGTATGCATTTTGCTGTTGATACAAATGAGTTGTCACTGATGAAACTGTTCGTTTTGCTCATTCTGTCATTTCACAGCAATGCGAGGATGTACCATCTACTCCCCTACTATCCCACACTAAACTCAAGGCCAAGCCTGAAGTTCAAAAAGAGATTAAGGTATGTTTGTGCCATAATAGTGTCACGTCAAAATCAAAAGGGGCCGGTATCTTATTTAGCCAACCTGATTTTTACGTCATGAACTTGCTTTTCTATGGTAGAGCCATCCATTGGCAAAATAGAGTTACAGTATGATATGAAGATTGCATGATGGGAGGCTCTTGTATTCCACCTGATTCGTGTCTATTGATTTGATACTCGGGTAGTGTACGAGGCACAGTTTCCATTTTTATTATATATGAGCACTTTTCCAATACTTGAAATCACAATGTTTATGGAATACAGAATGACATGGAGCAAGCCCTGTCTGAAATGCGAGTGAGTGAGAATGCCACCGTAATACCGTTGGAAGATGCGACCAGTAGCTTGCTTGACCGCAGAAAGGCGAAGGGTAAAGGACCCCCTAAACCGCTCGTAATGTGATAGAATCTTTCCAATGATTATATGCCGTACCTGACGATATCTTTGCAGGGACACTCTACTTTTGCTAGAAGGCCTACTATCTTTATAGATGTTCGCCTAGTAGGCAGCTCATCTGATGGTATAATAGTGCGCTGACATATAGTCTCCTCAAACACGATCTGTCAAACCGCAAGTTATCCTCTTCTTATATCGAATGGATTAAGGTTTGATAAATTCTGGGTAGGTCTAGTTAGCAAAGTACGTATAAAAAAGGGAAGCTGTTTGGGTTATGCTTTCGCACCAGGATTGAATTCGGACTTCCTCGTCGTGTGCGAAGAAACCATTCAGTATATGCACTAGCTCACATTCTAAGGTCAGTGGTGCTATGTGCAACCTACTAGGGGGGGGGGCTGAAATTCTCGACAATTACTTGTTCGTTATAGATGTACGTTGTGTATTTGCATCCAACAAGTAAACTTTTATTCTATAAAATACGATATGGCAGCAAGAATGGCAGTATGACGCAGATTGTAGCATCGCTCCGTCGATATTCAATACAAGTGTCGGCCAATCAAATCATGTACTATGTTGTACAATACAACCACTCTTGTATCCCTGATGTGTCTTGGTGTCTGGTGAAGAAAAAGTATGTCTGTGCAGCAAAGAGCAACTTCTGAATTCTGACAAACGAATTCGTTCTGATCAAATATTCTTAAACTGAGTTTTCGTATGTCTGTTCTACTATACGTAAGAAAAAAGCCATCAACACCCTTTCGAATGAGAATTGGACAATATGCACCCTCACATATTAAAAAGATGTGCCCCAATTTGAACAATAGAAAAGTGATCATATGCCTCGACGCCACACGTTGGAAAATTTTATTGTAGATGTCCACCGAATTATAGCAGATTCCACTATTTTGAAACAAAGAATATCATGTGCTCCTTTTACAATCTTTGTAGCAATTAGTTTACCAACTTTAGCAATTTATATACAATCTCTTAGCGCATTTTAAAGATCTGAAGCCTTTTTTTATAACTAAATAGAATAAATTGTAGGTCAAGTGACCATGCAGATCTGTTTTTAATACATTAGTGAAGTATCAAAAATATTTCCTCACCAAGGATGGTTAAAAATAGTGTGACACATGGCGATGGGTAATCAAACAACGCCTTTCTATCGGCTGAGACCATGCACTTACAAACACTGGATAGTTGATGCAACAATCTGGGACAATGCGAGCGCCAAAATGATATCTTAGCTAGTTGGACACGGTAACCTTGAGATGTGCACGTCGCCCAATATCCCACTAATCGATCCTTGATATGTACAGGTCAGAATGTAGAAGCTGAGTGTATTCGATTGGCGATGCTAGTAATTAAGTTTTATTCCTGTCAAAAGCTTTGTTGTTGCTTTGAGGGCAAGCGCAACTTGAAACTGATTGAGAGCACAAAAGTGCCCTGGCCAAATTAACAAGACACAGACTGTCGTAATAACTCATCTAATAAAATACGGCACCAGTATCGTCACCCTTCATTCTAGTAAGTGTCCATTGTTAGCTAATGTATGTTGAGCTGTCAGCAACGTACTACAAGTCACTCAAGTTTGCTTCTCAATGCTAGCCGTGTAGTATTTTATTGCCTTTGCATCGAGCTTTATCAGTCACGTGTGATGTAAATAAATAGGTGTCAACTAAATATATGGGAAATAGTCATCTTAATGTCAGCTTCGTATGGCTACCATGTTACAGATACCTAGGAAATTTCGTCGTCGTCCGTTTCTTAGTCAATCGTTTTAAGAATAATTTTGTAGCTTCCAGGAAGGAACTTTCGTCTTCGTACGTCTTTTAGTCAATCATGTTGAAAACACTTATTGTAGCTTCCAGGAATTACAATACTTCGTACTGCTGTTGTATGAGGGGAGTACAGTGAGCCGCTCCTGTGGCTATAGTTATAAGCTATCGGTCAATGGGTCCGTCGCGACTGATATCATATGCTGAATATGTGGGAGTCCGTCGCGACTGATATCATCAGCTAAATACATGGGATTCTAGGTACTCATTAAACCTGTTGGGTATAATGTATTCGTCGTTCGATGAGATAATATTGATTACCATGTCCTACGATCAAATAATATAAATTCATTATGACGTCGTTCCAACATACCCAGGAGCCATTCCCACTCGGTCGTCGTGCGTTCAGGTGATTCCGAAGGCGTTGTATTTTTCTTTTTCTTTTCCGTCTTTGTCCCGACTAGGGTTGTGGCAATCAATATAAACATCCCCACTTCTTCTGCCCAGTCTTTAAACCACTCTGCATGGTATCCTCTCAGACAATACTAATATGTGAATATAGGTAGTATGCTGGCATCGATTGTTGTTATACACCTCGTGCGACGTGCCGCTGTGATATCGGTTTGCAAATACAAGAATTTTTCAAACAACTCGAGTAATTTCACGTGATCCAACTACTCTAAATTGAGAATGACGCGAGTCAGATGCTCTGATAGAGTATTGAGCCATATCTGCACACCGCGTATCAACTTATCGAGAACTTGCTACTTCTAAAACAAGACAGTTTTCGTCCGTCATGTATTACACAATCACAATTTCGCTAGCTGCAACATGGTGTGTCAAACGATATAAAATTACACCATAAAACAAGCACAGAGGTGACAAATCATCCAATATGTATCAACTCAGGACATACACGTCACAAGAGACTCATTAGAAAACACAAACTTATACTTTATTCTCAATCATGTCCTGATCGGATTCCTCACTGGTAGCGGGTGTTGCCGTTTGTAGTTCCTTCAGGTAGTGGTCTATAATTATAGTCCCACACCAATGTATTTACCATATTCATTTACACGGTTAAAAGCATATTCTCGGATGACACAGGGTGAATGTATTTATTGATCAATCTGTTTAGTCGCTTTAGCAATTTACAGTCGTCGTTGCTGATGTGTTCTTGCCACTGACTATCTAAGCACACGTTCAGAGCATAATCAAATATATCCTAGATGTTAAAACAGTGTAGTGTATAATTGCAACCACAATTGATATCATTGGTTCATTTACACGTATATGTTTAGGTTTTCTACACTACAACATTAGCTATGACGATCTCCGATGTTTTCCCGAACGCTGTCCAAATGAGTATGTATAGTTAGCTTCATTTCAAGATCTCCATGTTTCCTATAGCGGCCAAAAATCAGAAGTGATACTCTTCTATAACTCGACATTCTGTGGTATAAGTCTGCCATTTTGAGCCCCGGGATATATTCCTCCAAGCTATATTATGTAAGTTCTTGTTGAGTATTTATAGTAACACAGCCAATTGTAACAAGTCATAGTTTGCACTGTTACAACAATATAACTTTTCCTCTACAATTGTCACTGTTCACTTTTTCACGAGATAAACAAATAGGTTTATATATACCGAAAATGTATAAACTTTCAAATACTATATAAATTATCAAATAGCACCAGCATCGAGTCACACCTTATAGTATATCACACCAATCTGGGACCGATATGTATATTTTTATATTCGTTTCTATGAAAGTAGCCAATATAATCTCAACTTATAGTTCAATGTGGACTTTCTAAATGTGTAAGTGTATATTCATTGGGAGGGACTCGGTTGGTGCATGTGTACCTACCTTCCATATTGACTAAACGTTTGTTTGTTTATCTAGCTTTATATACCTCGCGAACAAACAACCCCGATGACGGTATAAAGTATAAGCTTATTAAAGCTTGGCACCCCCTCAGCTGATGCCACTTTTTTATATACTTTAAAGCTATGGCCGAAAGTGTGTGTAATAGCTTCTTACAACTTTGGCTTATTTTACTTTGTTGTACTATGTTTATACTAATGACCTACAAGCCTACTCATATGTCGGAATACAGTAAAAATATTGGAAGCATTTGTATTCACAAGGTACGTAGTAATGTCTATCCCTGAAACCCTGCAAGTATATGAGTCAAACAGTACTCAGGCTATTTGAGCTGTAAAAAATGAATAGCTATCATATCAAAGTGATTTTAATTGGGAAACTTGCATTTGTGTAAATAAAGATAAAACACCAGCAATATAATCTCAACTCATAGTTCAATGTGGACTTTCTAAATATGTAGAGTATGGAGAGTAGCTGAAAGGTACGAGACAATAGGATACAATAGACCTCATCTCAAGTTCGGTTGTCTCAGCTAGGAAAAGTCCCAAATCTGAGAGAACCGAACTGAGTCTTTATTTGTGTTTTCACTAGACTCAGTATTTTACTCGAGTGTTTCTCTCACACGCGGGAGTCCCGGTTTAGCTTACAGGTTCTACCGCTAATATTTCTGATGACTTTTATATCAGAAATATTACAATCCTAATTCCAAAACTCAGTATTTGATGATTCTGGGTTTCGCGATTTGGATTGGCTTTTTGATAATCTGGTCCCTAGATGCTACAGCCCCCCAACTTTATGCTTCTTAGGGATAATATTATTTATTTCAAAAATGGCAAGTATGTATGATACAATGTATGAACATATGGTATGGCTCTCATAGTCGCTGTAGTGGTTCAGGAAAGATTGATGGGAAGAAATGGTCAGTAAATTCCCGTTTGAAGCTTGGGCCAAGGGATAATACTATTTATTTCAAAAATGGCAAGTATGTATGATACAATGTATGAACATATGGTATGGCTCTCATAGTCGCTGTAGTGGTTCAGGAAAGATTGCTTCTTAGCCTGCGTAGGAGTAGAAAGTGACATCTTACAGTACTAGATTATCTAGAGGTTGCTGTTTGTATACAGGGAAAAACTTGTCCCTTAGGGGGCATAAGATGAAAAACCTGCCACCATCATCTATTATGCATTATTAAATTTATACTATAGCAGGAATCCTCTACCACGCTCATCGGAGTCAGTCTTGACCGATGCTCTCGGTTGATTTCAACTTGGCTTAGGAAAACGCATCTCAACGGTGGCTCTACAGCCGAGTCTCTGGTCCTTGTCCCTCTGGTGTGTGAGGGGAGCATGCTTCTAGGCGAGAAAAGTGGTAGTGTCCTGTGGTATCAGTGAAACTTGCTTAGGTCTCCCGCCTTGTGCGCTGTCTGTGGCTCGCTAATCTTTCATCAGTGCTCGTTGTCGCTGGCTTCTTTGGCCTTGACTGCCTTCTTTTACGACTCCGACGTTGACCGTACGTTGTATTGACATCAGCATCTGCGATATCTGATTCATGCGTCTAGGTACGCTCACCATCTGTCCATTGCACGTCGACTATCGATGAGAACTGAGTCTCTTCGTTTGGTTGTACGTGATTGTTGGCAATAAATGCTTCTGGAACACTGGCCCTTTTTACGAGACCAAGTAGCTCATCACGGATCGAGTCAGGATATTTGAGTGCTTTAGTCTCAACAAGATTACAGACAAAATACCCGTTGCCCTCCCTGTATACTAATTTGTATGGTCCGCCATTCGGTGCTGTTAACTTGTTCATTTCACCTTGATAGCGGACCATGACAAGGTCCCCTTCCTGGAAGTTTACACACTTTTGTTGGTATATTCGATCGTGTGCTGCTCGCATCTTCTTTTGATACTGCAACATTGCTCTCTAGTTGTGGCTTAATGGCTTCTTCTAGATTTTGCAGTCGCTCTTTCCAAGATACTGTGGTACTGGGTGCGGTCACTGGCACATTGTAGTCAGTAAGTTGATTCTGTCTGCAACCAACGTATACATTAAAGCGCAAAGACTTGTGTCTTCTGATGTATGCAGATTATGGCCCATCTGTACGAATGGAAGTCTTGAACACCAGTTACCTGGATTCTG